TTTTTTTTTTTTTTTTTTTTTTTTTTTTTTTTTTTTTTTTTTTTTTTTTTTTTTTTTTTTTTTTTTTTTTTTTTTTTTTTTTTTTTTTTAGCGTGGTAGCAGTACTGCAAGTGACATTATTGCTCAAATAATTACGATATTAATGTGACTCACAGCACAATCTGGCGCTTGTGAAAGATTTATTTGTATTTGCTTATTAGTTGATGCTTTCGAATTGGAACTGCTTAAAAAATAATGCTATTAATGAGGCACTAACAAAAAATTTATATGTCACGTTAATTACGTTCTTTTAGGATTAAGCGTGGTAACACTACTGCTTAAATAATTACGACATGGATGTGGCACTAGATAAAAAATTACACGTAACGTGAACTTCGCTAATTAATACTTTAGAGAAGTGACATTATAGCTTAAATAATTACTACATTAATGAGACTCACAGCTCAATAAGGTTCTAGTAAAAAGTTTTTAACTGTAACTTCAACTGAGTTGGTTCATAGTTTAGTGTTGTGGCATTACTTTTGAAATAATTAAGACATAAATGTGGTTCCATCAAAAGATTTGTGTAACTTTTTCTTTGGCTTATGTTTCAAGTTGACATTGTACCCAGGGATGATTACGAAATCTCGGTGAGGAAAAAAACGAAATAATAAATTAAAATTGCCTACCTGAATGAAGTGACACAAAACAATCGATACAAAATAAATAATCAAGATGTTAAATAGAAAGAAAAGCTCACCTTTGCATTTGAGTCCCTGATGTATAATTCCATACAGCAGAGATCCGCAATGATCACAAAATGCGGGACTTGTGTATGTGTGAATTTGGAAATGATGCCTGGTCCTCAAGTCCTGAAAGTAAATTGGTCGTTAAGAAGTGGAAAGCACAACATAATTATGTACAAGGTGGCACAGGGGAACGGGAAATTTTGAAAAAAAAAACTAATTTGTACAAATAAACACTAATAAATTTTTTTTTAGCGTGATGTTAATGTTTTTACAACAAATGGCACAAGCTATCTGCTGCCAAAAGATGAAATCGGAAAGATCAGCCGCGCCAAATATGCTGGGATTACCATAGCAGTCTATTAGAATAATAGAAGACAGAGAGCTCATCTTTCCAATGTTATCGGTAAGAAGTAAATGGGACAATTTCTGGTAATGTTTTCACAACAAATGGCACAAGCTATCTGCTGCCAAAAGATGACATCGGAAAGATCAGCTGCGCCAAATATGCTGGGATTACCATAGCAGTCTATTAGAATGATAGAAGACAGAGAGCTCATCTTTCCAATGTTATCGTTAAGAAGTAAAGGGGACAATTTCTGGCAATGTTTTCAAAACAAATGTAATAATAATTGTTTAATAAATGACCTTCATAAATAAGTAACATTTGATTGTTTTGTTCATGGCATGATCTTTTTGTTTGGTACATTAACGTAGATAACGGATGGCTCCGTCAGCTTCATCACACAGTGCTCTGTGGAATTGAGATCTGGGTATTGTAGGGGCCTGCGTATTAATGTGACGCTTCCATCAAAGACTTGAAATCAATTTTTTACAATGCCAGTATTATCTTGTTGAAGGTACTTAGTACGCATTCGGTTTACGGGAATGGGGCAAATCTAGCTGGCAAAACTTTGCGTGACAAAACTTTGCTTGAACAAGACAACGCTCCAACAAATTCAAAAGTTAATAATTAATATTAAATTATAATTAATTTATGCATTAATTTTAATAGAAAATATTTTATGTACTATATAATTTTAATAAATTCAAATTCATAATTAACTTAATTTTAATAAAAGCAAAAATATAATATTTAACATTTTTTCAATATAATTGAATAATTTTTAACATATCACGATAAATGTATAATTATTTGTGTAGTTTAAATATATTTATTGATAAGAAGAAGTTTTCTTGAAAATTACGATATGAAAAAAATGTATCTGTATGATATCAAAAATGCTAAAGAATTTTAAAAAGTTTTTCCCTTTCAAAATATTCAAATAACATTATCAAACAAAATATTAAATAATTTTTCTCTTTTTTTAAAAAAAAAAATCAATAAATGATGAAACGTCGGAACAATAATAAAAATTTAAGTTTAAAACATGGTTGTTGAATGAAATAAGATAGATTTAGGACACCTTTTGAGTAACAAATTGTTCTAGAATCTCGAGTAATGCATTGCAGCACAGAAAAAAAATCTTTTAAATTATCGTACTGTAAGGTAATGACATTTTTTATAAAAAAAACAATTCTGGTTAATAAAACCAAACCAAACTATACGGTATTATAAATATAACTGGGTAATTTTTCAGTTAATTTGACGTTACCACAAAAAAAACCACAAAACGGAAAAGTAAATTTAACAGAATTAATGGCTTTTATGCCATGCTTCTACGATGTAATGAAAAAATTACCAAATTTTATTACATATAATAAAACTGTATTTTATTGTTAATTTTACCAAAATCAATTCTAAAGCGCTTCGGTAAAAATTACCAAGCTTCTTGTTGTTTTTATAGAACCAGAAACACGGTAATTTTTACCATTTTCTGGCTCTTTTGACCATACTTCTTTTTCGTAGTGAAGTTATGTAAAATTTAAAATCTCATTTTTCCCATATTTCTTTTAAAGAATATAAGAATGCAACCAAGAAATGAAACTTTAAATTAGAAATAAAATCTTAATCAGGAAAGAAAAATGAGTAAAGATTAAGACGTTCCTTCTGCAGCGAAAGAGGACACATGTTGAAAAGTGTAAATGTCATACAACATTTTTTTAAACAAATCAAACTGCATTAAATTAATTACGTTTTTACCTTTCTTGTATGTTAGAAGTAGGGCTGGGCAATGTCAGAATTTCGATATTGTGGTATATTGTGAGCTTCATATCACGATATTATGATATACCGCTGTAATTAAATTGTTATGTATATTATAAATGCTAAGACTATTTTGCAATTAAAAATTAATGTGTTTAAAGAGCATCATTTAAAAAAAATGGGGTACTTATCCTATATTAGCTCGCAGCATAATTATCCCATGGAATCAACTAATTATAAAGCATCATTATTTTAAAACAGAAAAATTTTATTAATATAAACATCAATTACTAATATAAACATCAACACAATTATAAACATCAAAACAGTTATAAACATCAACACAATTATAAACATCAACAATTATAAATATCAACACAATTATAAACATCACAAGGAGATCCGACAATCTCGGATATTTTTAAAATCAGAAGCACGCTATTCTCAAAATGAAACCAAAATCAGTAACTAAGTATACCATGGAGGGTTGATATAACGCGCGGGTGTTTGAAATCCGATATCGCCAATACCACGGATATGACGCATGCGCTTTAAAGTCAAATGATACCACAATATATTGTAGGAGAAATATCTAGCTGCCGAGAGGAGGTACCGTAAATATTACGCGCAAGCCTTTGAGTTCTTCACCCCTAAATCAATCACGTGCCATACCAATACCTCCTAGATACCATACCATACCGCCACTTCCTCGCCGCCGGTCGGCCGAAGATATTGGCTAGCGGTGAGTACCGAGAGGTGCAGACATACCGAAGTTCAATAACTCGGTATTGCCGAAGAATATACTTCCGAATATCATTACCGCGGTATCAAAGAAATACCGGTAAATGACGGTATTACGGTATATTGCCCAGGCCTAGTTAGAAGAACGTGCATATTTTTAATCACGAAAAAAAAAATTATTAACTCATTTAATTTTTAATAAAATTCCGCAACACTAATAAGATTTTTCGAGTTTTCTTAAATTAAAAGTTCACCTTTTGATGAAAAAAAAAAGTTAATCTCGTAATAAATTGCTGTCGTTGAAGCAAACATTATGTAATTCGAAATATAATATAATTAGGAAAAGTAATTTTGGCATGATATAAAAATCATGTGAATATATTAAGCTATAACGATATCTACTAAAATACCTGAATTATAATTATTTCTTTTTAACGTTCCACACTGAGAGTTTATAATAAATTTTCATAAATTTGAAAAAAAATTATACATTTCTTAGTAGTGATAAATCTTTCATATTTAAGCATTAAAAGCTAATTTTGTTATCTTTGTTTACATTATTTAGTTTCAGACGGCCACGTGGCTGAGCGGTTAGCTTGCCTGACTGCGAAGCCAATGGCTGCGGGTTCGAATCCCGCTCAGGACATGGATGTTTCTCTCTGCGTGTTGTTCCCTGCTGTGTGCGAATTTGGCCCATCCTATGTGGTATGGGTAATGTTGCTCGCCTCCGTGACTTTGGTCATATGGTGCTTACCAGGCAAAGCAAACTGAGTATCACTTCCGGCACCATCCACAACGAAGAACGGTAAGTTAAGTGCCTGCTATTTTTATTATTAAATGTTTGTATTTGATATTATTTCACTAAACTGGACATTTTGCTGTGAAACTAAGCACTTTTAATTAAAACACTTAATATCTACACATACAGCAGAAAATATCACAATGACGTACATTATATAACTGATACATTAAACTCAAAGGTTTAACGTCATATCTTTATGATGATAGCCACCGTATGATTGAAATTGTCGATAAAATCAGAAGCTGTAAAATTTTATTAAATACCTAATAGCGATTTGGTGTCACAAAAACACACTTTCATGAGTGGGAGAAATGGAAAAGATATCAAAACAAGAAATATCAAAACAAGAGATGATATAATTATCTGTCCCTTCCATTCGTTTTACTGATGAAGGTATGTTTATGTGACATCGAAACGCGTTTAGGTATTTAACAAAAATTTTACGACATCTGATTTTGAAACTTTGTTTTAATCAATTTTAATTTTATCACAAAGTTACACTTTTACTTATTATTTACATATACATTTGAATAAAATGTAAATCGAAACAAATTACACGTCATAACCGGAAAGCAAGAAAAATCCGATCGGCATTAAAACACAGCAAAACAGTAAGTGTCCACAAAATAATGAACAAAGATGCAAATGGAAAGCACTGACCAACAAGGAAGCATCGTCAGGGGGGCATTACCATGCCGTCAGTGCCGGAGTAGTTTCTGCAGACGGTGGCAAAATGCCACAAACCACCATACGAGAAAGAGGAATAATAGAGAAAATTAAGCAAATCAGATGAAGATAATACACTAAGATCCTGAAAATCGAAGTTGAAATACATAAATGTGACTGAAAGAGAACCTTATCTTTCGAATGAGAATCAAACATCGCAGGTTCGAGTACTAAATTAGTTTATATACAAAAATGGAAAAGCACAAATTCCATTTTTTGTTATTTATTTTGTGGATAGTTACAAAAGTGCAGTGTTTTAAAATACTGAATGGATTTTCCAACTTTTCTGCCATGTCGAGTAATTTGTTTTGATTTACATTTTATTCGAAAATTTATATAATATTATATATATATATCATAATTAATTTGCTATTTATTATTTTTATATATTTATTATGTATTTTAGTACCTATAAAGTGTTTGAATAAATTGCAGTTGTTAATTCCAATAGTTTGAATTCCAAATGAAAGGAACGTGAGATTAATAAACAGAATTGTTAATTTACTTTAACTAGTATTAGCGCTTCAGCTGCATTCTGATTTTCTCAAATTACAATCATTCATCAACTAGAAATACGGAATGAAATTGCGAAGCATTGGAGAACGAATAACTAGTAGATTTACATAGTTATTATACAATTACCTTAAAAATTAATAATAATAGTAAGTATCAAAGGGTAGGAATTTAATTTTTCAAGAGGTATTTTTGAATGTAAACTATTAGAAAATGGAACATTTATTTATTAAAACAATTTCTTTTTCGAAAATATCATTTTTTCTCTTTTCTTTTGAAGCCAACATTCTTTTTCAGTTAAACCATTCTAACAGTTAAAACCTGATTCTAATTTTTCATCATCGTCTATTTTTTTCTGTTATATATGTAGGTAAGTATATAATTGCATGTAATTAAGTCAATCGAGATAAATAAAAATAAGACGTCTACGTAGGTGTGAGTGAGACATTAACATTTAGTTCTTTTCCATTTAATGTTATGAGCAATATCAAAATGAGAAAAAAAATTATGTTCAAATCTACCAGAATATGATAAAATTTAACATGCTTCTGGCACCAAACACTTATACCCAATTTTTTAATTTTTACCAAAGCGCTTTGGTAATGATTTCGTTGAAATTAACAAAAAAATGGCTCTGAACTGCATGATAAAATTTGAAATGTAATAAAATTTGGCATTTTTATCATGTTACCTTAGAGCAAAGCTTAAAAACCATTTATTTAGTCAAATTTACTTTTCAGTTTTGTAATTTTTACTAAATGTGTGATAATAAGAGCTGTAATTTTAAAAACCAGAATTTCTGGCAAATCGTTACCCATATGAACAGAGCAAATTACCAAATGAATGGTTTAAGCAACGTATATTTTGATTTTATTAACCAAAATTATGGTTGTTTTACTAGAAATGTCTTTACCATTCAAGACGGTAATTTTACCAACATTTTTTTCTACGAGCAATATTTTCTACAGATATATTTTTTTTAAATTTATTTTTTCAACAGTCATGTGATAGTTCAAAATGTAAGTTTAAATAAAATGATTTTTTTTCCTAGCTTAGTAGCGCCTCTATCTCTACTCTTAGTAGCGTCTCTATCTCTACTGCTTAGTAGCGCCTCTATCTCTACTCTATCTCTATCTATACGTAAGTTATAACCATTTGAAATGTGCCCTAAAGTAAAATCTAAAAAAATTAAATCAATATTTAAAAATCTTTAAAAACAATTCTTCTTTGAAAAAGTTTAAAATTTGAGTCAATAAGTAATAAGTAATTGAAACTAAACACGTTAAATTGAAATAAATGATATGCAATGGAAAAACTTGCAGAAGCAAAACAATAATTATGCTTTAAAAAACATATATAACAATAGGTCTTCAACCGTTCTTTCAATACTGTTAGAGTTTTCATTCTAAAATTAATTAACCGGCAGCAATTTATCCATTCAATTATTGTAAAGTTTATGGTAAAGAACATTTTTAACCTTTACGGTTTTGAAACAGTTTACAACTAGTAAGGTTAAAAAATTAGGAAATCAAAACTAGATGGTTTAACCATTTACAACTAGCATGGTTTCGAAACCTCAAAAAAGACATTTAAGGCAGGCTTTTCGTTATATAATGGGTGTTGGAGTTAAGTTATGGTTGAGTTGGGTTTTATCAAATGAACCGCTGATTGTGGTTTAATTAGTTTATCTGGTTGTGTCCCCTATCGTAAGTAATTATAGGAAATGCTAGTCTTTTTTGTGAAAAGCAGCTTTATGGTGCTGCCATCTATACTTGAGAGTATCGTATTCTAATAGTCCAGGGTCACAAATTGTGGAGTGCAAGACAGAGGAAACTTTTCCAGTGTTGAAAGAAATTGAGGAAATATTGTGGTGTCAATGCTGGGACTTGAACCCCTGCTCGTTCTGTCATGAGATTGATAAAATCGCCCTCTCGGCTATAATACTTAAACGAAACTAATTAGCTTTATTAGGTGGGCCAACTTAAGGTTCTCAAACATGCACGTTTCTTAGAAACGAAGGGGAATATTTTCAGGAAAATAACTTTTATCAAACTACTAACGGAAAAAAATTCCCAGAACAGTAAATTATTTTGCCAAAATCTCATTTCCCTACATTAGAAAAATTCCGGTAGTACCTGCTCCCAGGGTGCCAGTACCTTTAACCCTAAAATTTTACAGTTATATCTTTGGATAAAGTAAACGAATTTTATACCGGGCGTAAAAATTTCTAGACTAGCTTAAAAATTTCTCGAGATATGGTGAAATACACAAAATTAACATTAAGGGGTGCTAATTTTGGATAAATCTCTTCACCAAACTATTGGAACCATATTTCCCAGATTGCGGCCATCTCCTATATTTTCAAATCTGAATCCGTTGAAAGAAAGATATGCTTACTAAGCGAAAGTATGTTGTCTGGTTTCGGTTTCATATTTTGTCTGGTTTCGTAACTAAAATTATCGCCTGCGCTAATTAATTAGCCTATTTGTGATCATCCCCTGGAACCATTAAGATTCGAGTCCTAGAACGTGAAGATCCGATCATTTTAATGAAACGTAATTCAAGGTATCTGTTTTTTTCCCCTCCTTACTTGAATTGAACATTCAAAATAACCTGAAGAAAAATCTGAATTATAATTTCGAAAAAGGAACACTTACGTCTGAATCGACACCTTTGTCGGCTCCTGGGCATGTGAATGTGACGAATTCGTGGCATCTTTTATGAACCACAAAACTACAAACTGAAAAGAAAAAAAAATGCACAATTATAAAAATTACTTCTAATTAAGGTTAGTAATAACTATAAACAAAGCGTTTTATGCAAACTACTAGATTAATAAGAATCAACAGCAAAAACTAGAATAAGTAGTTAAACGGTGATATACTTCACTTAACAACGAGCGGAACTGCTTCTCATGATATATCAATGGAAAAGAATACGGATAGAATTTAAAACAATCATAAATTGGGTTTATAGTATACGCATGCTGTTATTCATGAGCTTAACTGGTACAGTCAAATTTGTAGTTGTTTTTAATGCTACTTACCAAATACCAGCAAGCGAATTTAAGACAAAAAATGCATTTCTTGTTTTTCAATGTTGCCATCTACGGCCATGAACACAACTTCAGCCACATACGTCAAAGCTCGTTTTAAAGGACGGACCCATTCATACATCCATTCGTTCATCCACAGATCATAATTTCGACCTTAATCAAAGAACGATCAATCTCCAATTGAGTACCGCCAGAGGTATTCTTTTGTTATGGGAGCTGGGAGGACTTTGTGGCCCGACATATTTAGCGTGTACTAGTCATCATTTAAAGTACGACTAGCCTTCGGCTGGCGGGGATCGAACTCACGACCTTCTGGACATGGGCCCAACGCCCTACCAACCAGTCTATCTCGGCCTCACAGTCAAATTTTACATTCTTAATTGAGAAAAACAGATTTTGTACAATTGTTACCGGCAATGTAGGAAATGCCTGCATTGTTTAAAATGCCGAATGCGTATAATCTAAATAAGAAATTGGAAGAACAACGGAGAAGGATTTTTTTTCGCTTTTCCTGTTATTCTTTTTCTTTTTTTTTTAAATATATCCGAGTTGACGGTTGAAGAAAAATATTTTCTTTTATTCGATAAGTTAATAAATCAATCTTCACTTTAACCCTTTCATCGCGACGGATTAGATGACTCGTTTTCCAGGAATATTCGAAGTGCTCCATTGTTGTATTAATGAATATGGTAGGATTGCAATTGATTATTATTGATAAGGATTGCAATTGATTATTATTTTTTAAAGAAAAATAATCATGTTTTAAAGGAGTTTACGTTTTGTTTCAATTTTAGTGCTGTGAGAAAACTCTAAGCTCAGAGGGTGGGACAAAGGCATTGCCGTGATGAAAGTGTTAATCAACTTAATTGGTTATTACAAAAAATAACCGATTAGGAGAAAAATAAGCGTAGGGAATACCGGACAATGACCGTTTAATTTACGAAAACGTCCGAAACGGAAATACTGGCAAGAATATACCTGTCAATGGCATTTTACCTTAAATATCATGAAATAACGGTTAGGTGTTGGTTACTGGTGTATACATCCCTGAAGGTTATTAATAATGCAGGATGATTAGTAAAAAAATTATGAGTTTATTATTAAATGAAACAAAATAAAGTATGAATCTACTTGTTGCGCAAGAAATTTCTTTTTAACAAATACTAATAAACCCTAACATACTAATATGGCTTATTATAAATATACTGCATTTTAAAATTGGATAACTTAAACACTATACTACCGATTTCGTTCAAATTCTGCTTTTTTGTCATTTGAAATTACTTAACTTTACATTAAAAAATTTTTTTAACCATTTTTCTTCTATAATTGAACCAAAACTAATGTATAACTATTAAAAATTATTTTTTATATGGACTCATCTTTATATAAACATAGCGAATTTTATAATTGCGTCCAAAAATTTTTCGATTGGCTTAGAAAGTTCGTGAGATATACGAAGTACGCAAAAATGAAATTAACATTAATGTGTTCAAACTTTCAACCCGTTCTGTCGAAATCAATAATAACATATTTTGCAGATTGAGGTAATGAAGAATGCAAAATGAAGTATGAATCTACTTGTTGTGCAAGAAATTACTTTTAACGAATATTAATAAACCCTAACATACTAATATGTTTTAATATAAATATACTGCATTTTAAAATCGGATAACTTAAACACTAAACAACCGATTTCGTTCAGATTCCGAAAAAAGTTCGTGAGATATAACGAAGTACGCAAAAATGAAATTAACATTAATGCGTTCAAATTTTCAACTGTTCTGTCTATATCAATAAAACCATATTTTGCAGATTGTGGCTAACCACCCCTTAAATTTGCGGGTTAGGAATCTAAATCCTTTCAAACAAATAAATATCGTTAGAGAATATTTTGTGTTTGATTGCGTAAGTTAAAATATCGTCTAAAATATCGTATAAAGTTAGCCTCTCAAACTATCAAGGTTGATTCCTAGCACGTGAAAATCTGTACTAGGATCAATCATTAGATCAAATCTCTCACTTCTTTCTTTGCATTAATAGTACTGAAAATTTTATTAAAATGACTTGTACTTACACCTTAGAAAGGTTGTTTCAGTTATTATTAAACGGAGTTACGTTGGGGCTAAATTAAATAACTGTACAAAAAATTGCGATGCAAATTGACTTTATTTTACAATGCATCTCTTCATGAGACGAGAGCAAAATAGAACAGCAGCTGTTAGTAACAGTTGAAGCACTACTTGTTATTCACTCATAAAATATCCCTCACCTATTTCTATAAAACATCCGAAGTCAAAGCTGGCAGGGAATTTATTTTATGCAAAACTTTTTCCATTCATATTAATATCGATGTAAATTCATATAACCTTTCAAATCAATATCAAGGTTCCAAGTCTATTAACATAAATCTAGTTTAGAAAATAAAAAGATAACAAAATTTTAACATTTTTTTTAAGTATTAGAGTATTTAAGTATTTAATAAAACACCCTCCGGCTAAAATTATTTTTTATATGAAATGATGTAAAAAATAAAATACAACTTTGTACCGGTAAATTTTGAACAAGTTAGTAGGGAATCTCGACGAAATAATAAAGGTACTCAAAAAATATCTACCTATCTAAATACCTAAAATATCTAAATACCTTAATTCCCAAAAAATATCCACCCATCAAACTAGAACTAAAACTATAACAAATGACATTAAGTTCATTCGCATTTTTTAAAATTAACTTATTAATTTTACTAAATAAATTTAGTTTAATTAAACGATCACTTACTAATAATTCTTCTATAAAAAAATTGATTTTTCATTAGTTTCAATAATTTTCTGTCTTCTTTTTCAATAGTTAAGTTAAACGTAGGTTCAAAAATGTTTGAATGTGGTTAATTAAATTTGTGATACTTAATAATTTAAATAATTATTATAAATAATATTATCATCTTTATTATTACTATAATTATTATAATATAATAATTATTGTTACTATAATAATTATTGTTATAATTAATATTATTATAATAATTAATATTACAATAATAATATTATTATAATCAATATTATCATCGTTATTATTATTGTAATTATTATTGTAATAATAATTATTGTTGTAATTAATATTATTTTAATAACTGATATCATTATAATAATTAATTTTATTATAATTAATATTATCATCGTTATCATTATTATAATTATCACTGTTATAATAATTATTGTTATAATTAATATTATTTTAATAATTAATATTATTATAATAATTAATATAATTACAAATATTTGTCGAAGATCAAAGATTTTTTCCTATTTTAAGCTAAAGAATCTAATATTGAACAAACTGGAGTCCGAATTGAGAAAATGTATCCGACTACAACTCCTGCGAAATGTTCTTTAACTCCGCCTCCACATCTCTGCTAATTTAAAAGATGTCAATTTAATATTTTTTAATAACCCGTATAGGTTGGTTTTTTAAAAAAAAAACAAAGACTGATTAATAAAAAGTTAGTTATTTATATCCAAAATCATTCGCCCTTTCGCTGGATAGAATACTATAATGAATGCATGGCTCTTAGTGTTCAAATAAATTATCTTGTATTTTAGAACTCAATTTAAAAGATAAAATTATTTCTGTGTTATGTATCACGACAACCTCACCACAAATGAAAACTTTTTGAATGAAATAAACCCAGTTTAGAGGTAAACCTTACGCAGTCAACCGAAAGGCAATGGCACGCAAACACTTGAATAGACTACGACAGGAAAACCACAATAGCAAAATGGATAGATCATTTTTTTCGTTCCGTGGTAATTATAACTATGCGTACTGATAACAAAATTAATAAACGCTTTATATGATTTCGCGAACATTGAATGAAACAAATTAACATTTCAGAACATTCTTATAAGGTTTTTTTTTTTAAAAAAATCAATGTGAATAAAAAAATTTTTTCCTCAAATTGTTCTTGATTGTTTGTTTCTTGATTACACTGGGGAACAAATTTTTTGTTGCATTTATACAAATATTTACATATACACATTTACATATTCCTCCTCACTCCGAATTGGGGTACAGAGCTTCTATCATAGCTTTCCATCTCACTCTATTTGTGGCCAGATATTTTGACTATCTCTATGACTTTCCTATTGTTTTCAATATGTTTACAATAGGTCTGCGCCAAGTATTTTTAGGTCTTCCTCTTTTTTTTAACTCGCAGTGGACTGATCGCAAAGACACGGCTCCCAGTAGAACACCGAAGTCAAACATCACTGGCTGTGGTCAGTAAGCGGGTGGTTGACCACTTTGATCAGACTGCGTAGGGACCGAGGGTGCGCGGTATCGGTCCTTGTTAAACTGTTCTACCGTAAAGTGCTCGACTTCATGCGCAGGTCGTCGGGGTACCAAAGAAAGGGAGCCATCCCCTCAGCAGAGGATCAAAATTGCGGTGGCATGTCTTCGGAACATCCTCAGGGACGTTCTCCAGACCGTCGCCAATAGCCCATTGTACAGCTCTAGTGCGACGTGAATAAAGAACCTACCTACCTTTTTCTCTATTGCCCTGAGGGCTCCAATCAAAAACTTGCTTAACTTTAAAGTTTTCATATTTATGTAGAACATTATCAATTTAAATTTTTTTTTTTTAAAATTTCCAGATCAATCGGTTTCTGTTTTGCTTTTCTAAGGAT